CCTTCCTCTTTTCTTCCAAGTTCTGAGTTGTAAAGAGAGGAGAGAAATTTCTGTAAGGGTTATCTCCTAAGCCCGTCAAAATGAGTGAAACTGTAAAAGGGTGGTTGGCCTTCGCCTATTGAAGGAAGGCCTCTAGTTGACGTCGGTGACCTCGTCGGTGGAGGAAGCCAAAAGTGGAGTAGGTCAAGATTGACCGAACCACTCTAAATCTCGGTTTGCATTTACTTTGAGCATTTTATCTTTACTGCAAACCTCCTCAGTAGCTTACTGCCTTCTGCTCATTTACGAACGTGTTTCATAGTTAAGTATTTTCCGAATCGGCGTTAAGACGGAAATCGATTTTATCGTACGAACATCATATTTCAGTTTGCTATTACATTCTGTTGTCTATCTTAACTGCAAACTGCCTCTATATATTTGCTTTAACTACATCTCTTTTGATCACAAGTTAAAGTGATTTATGAATCGACTTTCTTACCAAAATCGTTTTTATCGTACGAATGCAGTTTTAATCGTCGAAAGTTTTTCGCTGCACTAATTCACCCTCCCCCCCTCTTAGTGCTCTTGATCCTAACAATTGATATCAGAGCAGAGTTAACTCTCAAACAGATTAAAACCCAAGAGAGATGGCATACGCTGGAAACCAAGAAGGCCACTCTATTATACGCCCACCCATGTTCAATGGGATGGACTACACCTGTTGGAAGACCCGAATGAGGATCTTCCTTATTTCAATAGATTTTGAACTTTGGAATCTTGTCGAAAATGGATTTTCGAAGTCTTCTCTTCTAATGATCGATTGGAATGAATCGGAGAAGAAGACTTTCGCTCTTAATGCAAAGGCTATGAATGCCTTATTTTGTGCGCTTGATAAAAATGAGTTCAATCGTGTTTCGGTTTGTGAAATCACGTTTGATATTTGGCATACACTCGAAGTGACTCACGAAGGCACAAGTAGAGTGAAAGAGTCAAAAATCAATCTTTTGATACATTCTTTTGAACTTTTCTGAATGAAACCGAGCGAGACTATTGGCAACATGTACACCTGTTTCACGGATGTCATCAATGGTCTAAAAGGACTCAACAAAAGTTTTTCGGATTTTGAGCTCGTAAGTAAGATTCTAAGATCCATTCCTAAGAGTTGGGACTCTAAAATCACTGCTATTCAAGAGGCTAAAGATTTAAACAACTTCCCTCTTGAAGAACTAATCGGGTCATTAATGACCTATAAAATGACTTGCAAGGCTTATGAAGAGCAAGAAGACATCCTTCCAAAGAACAGGAAGGATATGACACTTAGAACTTTAGATGACCACTTAAGAGAAAACTCAAGTGATGAGGACTATGACGATGACTTGGCACTTCTAACAAGGAAATTCAAAAAATTCATTAAGAGAAACAAGTTTAAAAGTGACACAAAAAATAAACTTGAACCCAAAAAGGATCAAGTTATTTGCTACGAGTGCAAAAAGCTGGGACACTACAAAAGTGATTGTCCCCAAGCTAAGAAGAGAACATCAAAGAAGAAGGCGCTCAAAGCAACGTGGGATAACTCAAGCGCGTCCGAAGAAGAGGAGTCCAACACCAAGCAAGTTGCTCATTACGCCTTAATGGCCATCAGAGAGGAGGTAACAAATTTAATTGATGCATATTTATCATTTGATGAATTATTAAATGCCTTCCATGACTTATTTGATGAATGCAAAATAATTAGTAGAAAATATAAATTATTAAAAAAGGAGCATGATAGTCTTATTAGTAATTTTAATAAATTAAAAACTGAATATCATGATAGTTTAGCTCCATGTATAAAATGTCATGATATAGAAACTCTCCAAAAAGAGAACTTGCTACTTAAGGACACCTTGAAAAAATTTGAGGTTGGTAGCAAGTCTTTAAACATGATCCTTACAAATAAGGGTCAAGTTCCCAAAAGAAGTGGAATCAGATTTGTGAGAAGTCCTCACCAAAATCCAACCACCTTCATAAAAGGCCCTATCTTACATGTTCGGCACCAAAGCAAATGCAACTTTTGTTGCAAACATGGACATAAAACGGATTATTGTCCATTCAAGAAAATTAGCTTGAACAAACTGATTTGGGTTCCTAAAGGAACCATGATAAACTCTATAGAACATAATAAACAATATAGATTCGTGTTTGAGGCACCCAAAAGTAAATGGGTACCTAAAAATTATCCTTTCTTGTAAAGACATACACCATCACAAGCTAGGAGCAAGAGATGGTATCTTGATAATGGATGCTCAAGGCATATGATCGGAGATCCATCTCAATTCTCTAAGCTCATTAGCATAGACGAAGGTTATATCACCTTCGGAGACAACAACAAGGGTAAAATCATTGGCAAAGGAACTATAGGTAACAAATCCAACTTCTTTATTGAAGATGTTTTGTTAGTTGATGGTTTAAAACATAACCTCTTGAGCATTAGTCAATTATGTGATAAAGGATATATCGTCAAATTTGAATCTAATGCTTGCATCATTGAAAAACCACACAAAAACACATCTATGATTGCATTAAAATAGAATAACATATACATCATTGACATCAATGATCTTTGTAATGAAATGTGTTTCTCGATTTTGAATGAGGATGGTTGGCTTTGACATAGGAAATTAGGTCATGCTAACATGAAACTAATCACTCAAATATTATCCAAAGAACTTGTATGAGGAATTCCTCGTATCAAGTTCATCAAAGATAATGTGTGTGATGCTTGTCAATTAGGAAAATAAATTAAGGGTAATTTCAAATCTAAGAATCAAATAAGCACCTCTAGGCCCTTACAATTGATCCATATGGACTTGTTCGGACCAATTTCTACATCAAGCCTAGAAGGTAGCAAATATGCCTTCGTCATTGTAGATGACAATAGTAGATACACATGGACTTATTTCTTGAAACACAAAAATGAATGCTTTAGATATTTCACCAAGTTTTGTAAACTTGTTCAAAATGAAAAGAGTTTTATGATTTCATCAATTCGAAGTGATCACGGTGGTGAATTTCGAAATCATGATTTCCAAGAATTTTGTGAATCTAATGGATACAACCATAACTTCTCTATTCCAAGAAATCCTCAACAAAATGGAGTAGTAGAAAGAAAGAATAGAAATTTATAAAAATGACAAGAACCATGTTGAATGAACATAGCTTACCCAAATATTTTTGGGCCGAAGCCATAAACACTACATGCTATATTTTGAATAGAGTTCTAGTAAGACCCTTACTCACCAAAACTCCCTATGAGTTGTGGAATAATAAAAAACCCAATGTTTCATATTTTAAAGTTTTTGGGTGTAA